TGGGTAGGGGCGGGCCCGCCCGCAGGCTCGGCCCATAGCGGGGAGTGGCAGGCAGATTATCCAATCAAGAACGCAGCAGGCGAGACCCAGCCAATCACCAGGCGGAGATGAAGGACTCCTGCCGGCACCGCCCGGCGCCGAGACGCACCGGAAGAGGTGAGGCAGTAAGGGAGCGCGGCGGGGAAGGCGCGGCACTTCCTGGTCCCGCCCCTCTAGCCTGAATGACCGCAAAACGACCCAATGGGGATACAGAGAGTAGACTTGCACCCAACCAGCAAGCGCGGCGCTCTTGGAGCGACATCTAGAAGACCAATGGCAGAGAAGCGAGGCGTGCTCTCCGCGCCCCGGCTTGCCCGCCTGCCCGCAGCAGCAGCGCCGCTCCGCTCCGGCCCCCGGGGAGCGCTCCGATCTGGGCCTGGCGGGTTAGAAGCCGCAGTCCCGGGGTCGGCGGCAGGGGCTGTTTCGATTAGTTTTTTAAGTAAATTTTTTTTTAATTTTTTTTAAATTTATTTTAAATTTTAAATTAATTTTTTTAATTCAATTAAAAAACTTTTTTTAAAATCGGAGTAACCCACGCCGCCTGCCCCGAGCCCGGTCTGCGCTCCCGGCCGCGCCAGGGCAGCGGCACCGCGCGGGGCAGCCCGGGCACACGACAGCGCCCTTCCTCGTCTAAGCGTGTGACGTAACAAGCAGCGCCAGGAGCAGCCCGCGCGTCCCTCCCTCGCAGGGCGGAGGGAGCCGACACCCCCCGCAGGCCCAAGCGGGCCGGCTGTACCCCTCCCGGCGGCGGAGGGCACCGCATTCCCCCACAGAACAGACATTTCACACCGCCGTGCACAGGAGCAGGGAACAGCACAATTTTATTTGCTTTGCATCACACTTTCAGGACTGGTTTCAAAAGGAGGGAAAGCGATTACTATGTGAAATTATTCAGTGTGTTGTAAAACGCCTACTATGAAACAGGTTAAAAGAAGGAAAGTATTGGAGAAAGAAAACTTGCACAAAGACCAAGCTCTTTCACAAGGGGATCGGGCTGTGAAAAAACATGTCGATGGCTTATCGCTAGCACACGCGGAGCAAGGCGACGGGCAGGGCGCGCAAGTCAAAAGAAAGTTCTTTAAGGAAACATGTTAATACTATGTGCAAATGACACTGTCCAATATAAAATTTACAGAAGCTATTTCCAAGCGACTGACAACGTTGTTTTGTTTTTGTTCTTTTACAAAGGACTTCAAGTTTAGAAAAATATTTCCATGCAAAAACTTCATTACAGACAAGTAACAGAACTCAATTTTCAAATTAGTAAGAGGTGGTGACAGGGTCTGTTTTTACACCACATGTTGCTGTATTACCTGGGCTCCTGCCCAAACACCGCGATGTTAAAAAACACACGGGGGATCTTGTTTTCTTCCTGCGGGAAGATTTCTCTCTCTCTCCACGCCAGAAAAGGAAGGCTGTTTTGGAAAGTAGTTATAAAAGGAGGGCAGAGGTCTTCAATAGCTTTCCTTCCAGCCACACTCCCTCCTGTAATACGTAGAAGTTCAGAAACACTTACCTCTGTAAGTTTTTAAAAAAATAAAAGGGAAGCATGGCTAAAGCCAGATAACCCCACTCTCCAGATTGAAACAATTTAAAAAACACATTTTAAAAAAAGACATCAAGTCGTCCCCAAAATGAGTGAAATGATGAAGCAACTACAAAAAACAGACTGCAAGCCTCACAACCCACAAAATGCCATACAGAATTTTTTCTATAACAACATTAAGATGATTTGGACATTAAGATGATAGTCTAGCAAAAACCCATGCTTCAAACTAATATTAGTATAGCTGAACTACAATACTACCTCCACCAGGAAGAGCTCCACAACAGGTCTTAGTCCAAATCACAGGACTTGTACACCCCAGACCAGCTGCTCACGGTTAAAAGCTGGGGCATGCACATGACATTCCCAAAAGCACGTGTCCACGTCATGCAAAGGTCCGTGGACTTGCCACAGAGGGGAGAGAGGCCCTTCTTTTTTTTTTTAATGTTTTTGTTTTGGGGTTATTTTAAGTCCCCAAGGACACAAACAGCAGCTTCTCCATAGGACCTTAGAGGAAAACGAGACCCTGGACAATCAATATACGTAGGTTCAGAACCTAAAAGTATTAAACTGCCATCTCTACTACACAGCGTGTGCTATGTTTGTCCTCAACTGACAGATGGCACACGCAGTATTGGAAAGAATGGGTTTACAATGCTTAATAGAGTCAACACTGAAAAATGAACTATGCAAAGTCAAACAAGTACTGGCACCCGGATCTGTCTATGACAAGTCTCTAAATCTAGCAAGCCAGCTCTACCACTTGGTGACATTTTAGGAAGAATACACATCTGGCTCTTACTTGGGCCATGGCAGTGCATGAGGTAAAAGGCATCTAAAAAGAACTGCCGAATGAAAGGAAGAAACCACACACAGCATAAAAAAATCCAGCACACATTGTCGTCATCCCCACACATGCACACACACACACACACATTAGAAACTCTCATGTGTCAAGAGAAATTGGAAAGGACCTAATCCCATGGAATACGTGACAACCTCTGTAAGCAACAAATCTATCGCCTCACGTCCAGCAGGAGCCTCAGCATCTCAGGATCCGACCCAAAGCAACACTTATCAAGCTGTATTTTTTTATTATTATATTATTAAAGTAGAAGAGACCTTTCAATTGGGGTCTTGCACAACCACCATTTCAAGCAACAAAAACAGATCTGAGAAGCTCTCTGCTGACCCCAAACCCTCATAAATCAAGTCAGCCTCTTTTGTTATCCCTCAACTCATGGCCATGAGGTTCTGCTTGCCTTCTGATTTGAAACCTTACTGTCCAATACATCCTCTGCAACCATGAGGTCTAGAGGAAAACAGATTCTCACATCTCCCTTCCCTGAAGCTATTCACCCAAGAGTTGGACTTTAAGGAAAACACCACCAGAAATGTCACAAGATCTGGCAACACATAGCTTAGTAAAGCATCGATTAGGGATGCTAGAAAACACACAATTACACCCATTTGGCACAGCTCACATACAGATCCTTGTCTACTGCAATATCCCACAGAAGTACCACAGCTTCCCAGTGACAAGTGTGCCTGCCCTTCATTCATTCTACACACCCTAAGTTTCAGGAAAGCTCACACATGAGAATCCAAGTAACTGTAAAATAACTTTCATTCTTTTATTCAAACTTCACATGTACAGTAGACAGAAAGTCATTAAAACAAGTCCATATAATTATATGAACTTTTGCAACATCTCAAGTTTAGATCAAAACTAAGAGAAATAGACATAACAGAATACAAAGTATTCCAAAACTAAGCCATAGCTTTAAGTATACTTCATCCGTATTATAAAACCAAGTACTACCTTGAATACTAGAACATTCACCATAGTCAAAATCCTTCGAGTGGGATGTTGTTTACAGTACTCTGGAGGTTCAGTGATGTCTCTCCATCAGGGCTATCAACCACCCTGTAAACAGTATGTCAAGTTACACGGCAGCCTCCCAGCTATTCCTCCCAAGAGCCTTCATTTTACAGAATCAGCTACTGCAACTTGTACTGGATTGGGAGACACAAGCCAGTGGTTTTCACGGCCTGGGTTACGAACCCCAAGAGTGACGAGGTCACCAGTAGTCACCTGGGTGGCATGAAGAACTGATGCCACACAAGCACGTATCATTCCCCATCTCCACTGCCCTGATGTGGATTTACTCAGACAGCTACTTCTTCTCAGATGGTAACAGCACAAGTACACAGCATAGCAACAGGGAAGGCAGAGAGGGTTTTGAGCCACATCTTAAGGGAATCGGTGGAGAGTAATGTTTGGTAGCATGGTCTGAAGAGCTGTAAAGACTCAAGTTCTGACAAGACAGGTAAATAAGGAAAGCTCTAAAACCAATCTAGCCCTCCTGGAAGAGAGGGATAACAACCGGGTATAGAATTCAAGTTAGCACATCTCTAGTGTAAAAATACCCCACCAGAAGTCAGTGCAGTCTCAATCAGAAACTAATAATGGATTTCAAACGCAGCATTTTGAAACCACAAAAATAATTCAGCTCTTCTGTTACAAAGATTGGGAAAAACAGGAGTCATGGCATAACTCAAATCTGTATGAATAGGTCAAAAAAATCTAGAGAAAAAGAAGAGTTACAATACTAAAATAATCCCTTTTCAGTGCTAAATTTATCATATAAGTAAATTAATACAATGTCAACCTGGTATTTGCTGTACACTTTGGCTCGAACTCCAAACGCTTCCACAAGATATCACATCTAGAGTACTGTCAAATAAATAGCGAACAAAACCAAAGATACTGCTTTGTGTATTTTAAAGCATGACGAGTGACAGTATGTTACACAAGTTACTCAGTGTCGTATATAGCAATGCCATTCTGGGTTGATGGATGCCGACGCAGTATTCTCCATGAAATACTAGGCACAAGAATAAACCAGTTAGGCAGTTTTTGTGCCTAAAATGAGTCTAGGGTTATTAACATTCTTGGCAATACAATAGTGTAACTGATATGCTTCTCAGCATTTAAGAGCCATAATTGCAAAAACCATGAAGCAGTGTGTTTAAGTTTGTGTCTTTCACAAGCAGTTACAGTTCTGGACAGATTTCTTCTACGTTGTGTGCTCTATTCCCCAGCTGGTCACTAGTAGCATGTGCTGTGGAAGAAAAAAATGAGAGATTATAAAGGGATTTAAATATTCATAGTCTAAACCAGCGATTCTCAAGCCAGGGTACCACAAGGCGTGTTGAGATATGCAGATAATTGCAAACTGAGGCTTGTCCCTCCCTACCTGGTGGACCCCCACCGCCCCCAACTGGCCAGCAGTAAACACTCCAATACATGAACTAGCTTTTGAAACGGGTACCACTCAATTTACAGAAGGTCTGGAGGAGTACCTCCAACCCAAAAAAGTTGAGGATCTGAACCCCATGTTGTCAAACAGCACACATACTTCTGAGGTCCTCCCACAACAAACAAAAGTAACATCAACAAATGTTGGTATGCATCAGGGCACTTTCCCACCCCCTTTTATATTCTGAAAGTTCAATCACTCCGGAGACAGTTCAGTTTTCATTTTTTTCCAAAACTGCTGAAGAAAGCAGTACCTCTCAGCACAGAAAGAGCATCACAGAAGTCACTGCTGCACCACGCAAGAACTTGATGCTCTGAGTTGCCAGTTTCCAGAGCTCAAGGCAGAAAGCTCCTGAAACACAGGCCAACTCCATACTTTTTAGCTTGATCTGCAATCTGAGGTGGACCAAATACAGAGGTTTGAGATAGAAGAACACTGTTTTGCTGTGCTGTTCATATTTGTAGCCAATTTAAGTAATATTGGGAAAATGTTAGGTCTTCAAATGCCCACAGCAGTGCATGATACAAATCTCTTACTCTATTGTGCAGGAGAGCAAAATAACCTTATGTCAACTCCATCAAAGGGTTTCCCAGTTTGACTCCCTTGCCACAGAACAGCTACCATCACAGCCATATCTAAACTAACCACTGCTACAGTGCAAAGCTTGAAGTCACTAAATTCTAAATTCAGCCCCACATTTTACATAACAGAATTATAACAGTTACCTGCAAATGTTAAACCCATAAAAAAGTCAAAGCAAACACCATACTGTTCCTGGCAAGGAGTGGTGACCACTTGTATGAAGTCAGGTTAGTCAAAGTTAAGCATAAATGGTAGCAGGCAAAATGTACTGACTAATTAGAATATGGCAAGCCAAGTACCACTGATCATTCCTTATTGAAAGCAAGGGAACAATTAGAGTCATCTCCCACCTTGCCTTTTGGAAATAACCCTTTATTGTTTTGTAGATGTAAATGGGAAAGCATTAAAGTCACCACCTATCAAACAGCTGAGTACACTTTCCATGAGGGAGAAAACCCCGCGTGCAGATAATTCCAGAGGAAGGTCTCCCAGAAAGGGAATGTCTCAGGAGGCAAGTACACATTTACTAGCACAAAGGGGATCTCACCCTGCCCAAGGACTCCACAGCAGGAAGTGGAATTCAAGAACAGATGCTGCCATTCAGAAGAGACGAGAGTACTGAGAACCGAGGTCCAGCCCTGAATAAGGAAGTAACTGCACTGATCACTCCTGCACAGAGTCCCACGGACAAGGGGCACCCATGGCTGCGCCCCAGCAGCCCCTGTGCCAGCCACTGCACAGGTGGGTGGACGAGAAGCCAGAGCCATGCTCTTCTGCCTGGCTTGTTTTCTGCTCCTCAGTGCATGACAGTGTAAAGCAGGAGGCTAGAGACAGGACTTAAAAGAGATTATTCCCAGCTTTAAAAAGCTTAAAAGAGAAAAGACCCACCAAAAAGTAAACAAAAGCACAGAGCTGGAGCAGCCCTAAACAAGTGAAATGGCAGTCATAAAGGAACTCCAAGTGATAAGCAACATAATCAGCATCCAGAGAAACCCATCACCAGCTGGAGCCCTAAAGCCAACGTCTCTTGAAGAACCTCTTTATCTCATCCTCTTTGCAAAACCACCAATGAACACATACAAATGAATCACTGTCCTAACCAACCACACTTCCTGACTTAGTTCATTATCTCAAAACTTCATGGAACCTTGTTGGTCTAACAGGTAAAGGGGAACCTGTGGGAAGACAAGGTCCAATAGTCACAAACTCCTGGAAGACCGTTTTAGGCTGGACAGAAGGAAAAACTTCTTTACCGTCCAAGTCCCCAGGGCCTGGAGTAAACTCCCCCCCAGAGGCAGTGCAAGCACCTACTCTGGACACTTTCAAGAAACACTTGGACACCTATCTTGATTTCCTGCCCCTTGGGCACAGGGCTAGACCCAATGATCTTGCGAAGTCCCTTCCAGCCCTAATGTCTATGAAATCTATGAAACCTCAACCACTCATTGCACAAGTATCATGAGAAGAAGTCAGTCAAATTCAAAAGGTCATCAGGAACTGGGCTATATAGATTCATAGACAAAGTGGGCTAGAAGGGACCTCAGGAGGTCACATCTAGTCCAACCCCTTGCTCAAAGCAGGACCAGCCCCAACTACATCATCCCAGTCAAGGCCAACATACAGGATGCATCAGTTTTCTTATTACCCAAATTGAAGCAGGCATATAAGAACCCAAGTTCTCTTTTAGTGGGAAAATAGGCCATCAAGGGATCAAGGAGGCAGTCTACAGGAGGTAGACTCAGGAGGTGCAGAGCCCCACCAGGGGAGATGCCTTGTTGGATCTGGTGCTGGCCACAGGCGACAACCTCATGGGAGGGCTGCAGCTGCTCGACCACCTGGGAGACAGCGATCATCGCCTGCTGGAATTCACCATCCAGCGCAAGGTGGCAAAAGCCAGCAGCAAGGCAGCAGCCCTGGGCTTCAGGAGGGCGGATTTCAATGAGGTAAGAAGAATAGTTGGGGAAGTACTGAGGTCCCGGAGGGGAGGGGAGGGGAGTCGGGTGTCCAAGAGGAATGGTCGTTCCTTAAGGAGACGATCCTCTATGCCCAAAGGGAGGTAATCCCAACAAGGGTCAAAGTGGACAAGAGGGCGCAAAAGCCCCCATGGCTCACCAAAAGCATACGGGAACTGATGCTGATGACACTAAGATGTGGGGCGAGGTGGACACACTTGAAGGGAGAGAGAGGCTGCAACTAGATTTAGACAGACTACAAAAGTGGGCAGACGAGAATAGGATGGGGGTCAACGTAGACAAATGCAGGGTGCTGCACCTGGGGAGAAGGAATCCACAGCACACACACAGGCTGGGGAGTTCCCTTCTTGAAAGCAGAGGCGGAAAGGGATCTCGGAGTCATTATTGACTCCAAGATGAACATGAGCCACCAATGCCAGACTGCAGCCAGCAAGGCGAAGCTTACTGTTGTGTGTAGTAACAGTGGGAGGAACAATGTGGGGAAATGGAAAGACAATTCCACCTGCTGAAACTATCAATTGAGACTACAGCTAACTAACTCTAACCCTCAAGAGCATGAGTTGCACTGACTATAATGAAGTAGGCTCACCTGGTTAAGTATTTAACATTACATATTACATGCTTCTTCCCCCTTGAATATTCCTTTACATCTTGGTAATTTTTGACAAAACTTCTGTTGCTGTTAAGTACTCATGATGTTAAAACCAAAATGTTTCCTCTCCCAGAAATATATAATTTTTGACAAAATAACACCTTCCTCCATTCTTGAAAATAAATACCTCAGTAGTTAGGGTACTCGCCTAAACTCAGAAGCTCACTTAAGTTTCTGCCATTGAGGTAAGGGACTTTAAGCTAGTTCTCCCACATTTCCCAGGTGATGGCCCTTATCACTGTGACTGATTGTTCAATGTTGTCAGCCAAGGCAGGGTTGGAACTGAGACTAGCTACCTGGATCAAGGACAACAAGAAGTCCTTCTTTGAATACATAGGGGGTAAAAAGAAGGTACCGGGTAATGTGAGGCCTCTGCAAGGCATGCTGGGAAATCTGGTCGTTGCTCCAGATGACAAAGCTAACCTCTTTAACAATTTCTTTGCCTCCATTTTTCTGAGCAGGGACCAAGTCACTCCCTCACTGGGACCACTGTAGGCCCCAGGGGAGGCACACCTAGGCCTACGGTCAGTGAGGATCTAGTCAGGGAACTTCTGGAGGGACTGGACGTATTTAAATCAGCTGGTCCTGATAATCTCCACCCCAGAGTAGCAGATGTCATTGCGGGACCCCTGGCACAGCTTTACGAGCACTCATGGTGCTCTGGCGAGGTGCCAGAGGACTGGAAAAGAGCCAATGTGGTTCCCAGTTTCAAAAAAAGGAGGAAGGAGGACCCAGGAAACTATAGGCCAGTTAGTCTTACCTCGATCCTGGGTAAGCTTTCTGAGAGAATTATCCTGGCGCATGTCCACGAGGGGCCAACAGGGGAGATTATGCTTAGGGGCAACCAACACGGGTTCATTAGAGGCAGGTCTTGTCAGACCAACCTGGTGGCCTTCTACGACCAGGTCACAAAATCCTTGGACGCAGGCTGGAGGGCCGCACCCAAAGAGTGGTGGTGGACGGGTCGTTTTCGACCTGGAGGGATGTGGGCAGTGGGGTCCCCCAGGGCTCGGTCCTCGGACCCACACTGTTCAACATCTTCATCAGTGACTTGGACGAGGGGGTAAAAAGAACCCCAATTCAAATTTGCTGATGACACTAAGATGTGGGGGGAAGTGGGCTGAGGGACCTGAACCTGTTCAGCCTCCACAAGAGAAGGCCAAGGGGGGGTCTAGTGGCCTGTTGCAAACTAGTCAGGGGGGACCAGCAGGCATTGGGGGAGTCCCTGTTCCCCCGAGCACTACCAGGAGTGACTAGAAATAATGGCCACAAGCTGGCAGAGGGTAGATTCAGGCTAGACATTAGGAAGCGCTATTTCACTGTCAGGGCGGCTAGGATCTGGAACCAGCTTCCAAGAGAAGCAGTGCTGGCTCCTACCCTGGGGGTCTTTAAGAGGAGGCTAGATGAACACCTTGCCGGGGTCGTTTGACCCCAGTGCTCTTTCCTGCCATGGCAGGGGGTAGGATTTGATGATATGTCAAGGTCCCTTCTGATCCTACAAACTATGAAACTATGAAACTACATATGAAGCTTCAGCATAGCACCTAGTAGACATTCCACCCTCAGCACCTGAAGAGACTGCCTACTGTTTCCAGTGCTAAGAAGGCATTTGAAAGCAGAGACCATCTTGAAAAAATGACAGGACAGCAGTTAGAGTCCCCTGGAACAGCAAAGTCCTCTCTAGAAGCTAAGCCAGAAGGTCTCTCTCTGGGCAGGGACCACGGACCAAAAGGCCAAGTCTTGGAGTCCAAGGAGCCAGAGGCTCACCCTCCCTAAGAACCATGCCTGAGCTGGCTTCAGGGGGTGCTCCAAGAGACTGGGTAAGACACGGCATTCCAAACATGTGCTTCCCTGGAGCATTGGTCACAACAATAAACACGCACTCCTTCCAAACAGCTTCAGATTGATCCAAGAAATTCAACAGTCAGGGTCCAAAGAGGCAGCTCTGGGAACATGAGGATCAACAGCACTAAGACTCTTTCGGTCTGGCACTGGACCAAATACAAATGTTGACCAGGTGTCCAGGTGAACAGCATGCCTACAAAGAGATCGTTAAAAGGTAGACTGTGGAATAAGCTCCCCCCTGAGGTGGTGCAATCGCCTACCCTGGAAATTTTCAAGAGGAGACTGGACGGTCACTTCGCTAGGGTCACCTGACCCCAGCTGTCTTTCCTGCCTGGTGCAGGGGGCTGGACCTGCTGATCTTCCAAGATCGCTTCAGCCCATTACAATCTATGAAGGACTCCAAGAATGGAGTTTGCAGAACTGCACCTAATTTTCCAGTTATTCAAGAACCACCCCATCCCATATTAAGGGTTATGATGCAAGGTATTTTCTTGTCCAAAGAGCATCTATAAGGTGACAGAGGACAACTTGAAGGGATGCCATCACCAGCAGGCTCACTCAAGTAACATGAACTTCAAACTCATCAGTTTAGGCTGTTCTGCTTGTGCTTCTGAACAAAGACTTGTTGCCTGCCCAGGGACTTTTTTAATCTAATCCAAGACTATCAGGTCTCTCGTTGGCCTCATTGTAGACAACATTACAAAGGCTGGTGGAATTTAAAGGCCAGAACAAAATGTTTAAGAGTTTTGACTGAAGTCCATTGCACTTTTCCCACTCATACGTCTCAGAGTCAAACACTGACTCAGTAATTTAAGAACATTTTCAATCCACCAGCAACCAAAGAGAGAAAAGTATTTAATTAAAAAAAATATTTAGATAGACGGACCAAAAGCGAATCAGATTAGTTTATTGTAGAGAGATAAAAATGAGGAAATATTCAATTTATTAGGCAAAGTGACAAAATAAAGAATAAATTGAGAACTGCAGAAAGTTAATGGAAAAATAATCCATTATTTTGGGAAATTCAAGACAAACCAGTTAGAGGAGTTAATTGACTGGTAAGCTGGTAAATAAAGTGTTAGCTATATTAGTCTAGTCAACTGGGCATGAGCAGTCAGTCAAAAATTGATAGTTACCAGTGTAGCTCAGAAGTCGGATTATGAAGTAGGATGGAATGACTTCAACAGCAGAGATGGAAAAATGCTGCAAAGGTGTGCCCTTCTTTTCAGTGAAGAACGCAGCTGGGGAGCGGCGCTGCCTCCCTGCTTTATAGCAGGGTGCAGAAAGAAGGCAGCTTCAAGCCATGGAGAAAGGTCATAAAGATGCCTACTGGAGCCCTTCTTTCCCCTGGAGAGTGAAGCTCTAGTAAATAGCTATTATAAGGAGGCCCAGTATTATGTATTACAGCACAAGTCTAATCACTTAGAGTCCAGGACAGATACTGTATGACTCTTCTGAAGCAATTATCATGGGCTTTAGTATCTTGTAATTAATACTGGTGCCAGAATTTTTCAATGGAGAGTCAAGTACTGAAAAATCCACTTGCTAAATCTCCTTCCCCTGGAGTGGGGTGAGGGCATAAACTATTCTGCAGCATTTAATCTCATTTTAGAGAAGCTATTTTTTTTAGTCCATATGCTTGTGAATGTAGCCTTACAAATAAGAACCAGGTGTAAGCCGATGCAGCATCTTCCCAAGTCTGCAGACAGCTCTAGTGCCTCTCTTAGCTTTCCCAAGCAGCAGCTGAGTAAAGCTAACAAGACTTCAGACTCATTGTTACTACAGTCTTGTAAGCGTTGCAGGAACAAGTCATCTCAAATTTCATGATGCCAACAACTATTTCAAACAGCCTGGAACAGCAGCAGAGGTAGGCAGCATATTACTATACTTAATTCATGGGAAGGCTGCCACAAAAACAGAGTGTGCATTACTTTGCTCTATTCTTTCCACCCAAGGAGCTCTCCAATAGCTAGAAGCAGCAATCGGCTAGGTAGCGGTCAAAACAAAACCTGAAGCCCTGATGGAGCTTCTAGAAACAGCACCCACCTCAGCATCCCAGCCCCTTACCACAAGGGGCTGACCAAGAGGCTGATTTTCTCATTGCAGATACAGCATGTACATTCTCTTCATAACACTGAAAACTGCATACCACAGTCTTACCTGAACAGACGCAAGATGCAGTATCATGTGCAAGAAATTCTTAACTAGAATGGGTAGAGACTTCCTCTACTCTTAACACTGCAGTAGCATGCACTCCGATGTCTGCTACCTAGTGAAAAGGTGGGATGGGGCAGAATGGTAGGCAAGTGCCAACACAGGCTTCCCCTACACGCTCTAACATGCTCTCTCTAAGGCTAAGCACAAGACAGGTTCCCACTTTAACAAGAGCATTAGTAGCTGCATCAACAAGGGTCAGGCTGGTCGGTGAAAGCAGAGCTTGCTGCTGACAATTATTAACGCATTTTAAGTATGCGCTTACTTTCCCACTGTGCCACCAAAAACAAAGCGCCAAGGTGGTTCTGGACAGAGTAACAGGTGCTTCGTGAATGACGCGGGCACGTTCTGAAGTGACATTGTAGGCATCACGGCTCAGGAGACATGCAAGACAAGAGTTTTTGTGAGTGGTATCTTCTACTGGACCAACTGCATGGTTGGGAGAGGCTCAGACAAACTTTTGGGTATCATGGTACTCTTCCTCGAGTACTGTGAAACCCAAAAGTTTGTCTAAGCCTATCCCAGCCATTCAGGTGGTCCAATACAAGATGCCACCACAAACTCTTACCTCTTGCATAGGGAGGCGGAAATTCCATTAAAAAAAAAAAAATCACAAGGGCTGGGAAGGGTGGAAGAGAAGCATAAACTTCTGTTTTCCAGGACTTCTGGTAGCTAAAAGAACCACCAGGCCTAAAAAACATTTTTAGAAATCTAGCTGCTCACCGGGTTCAGGTGTTTCTGTACTCATGTTTTCTACATCAGCAGCATCATGCATCTCCTCATCCTGATCTTCATCATCTTCATCCTCTTCTTCACCGTGTAGTTCTTTTGCAATTAGCTGCCTGGCCAGTTTGATATTTCGTCCTTCGTTATAATGCATTTTTCTCTTCATTTCAAACTGCTTTCTTTTTTCTGTAGAAAGGAGAAGGGGTGGAGGGAGAGTTCAGTATACACAATTATTGTACTAGGTTCCTTGAAAACATTCCAGGTAAGTTGTACTCCCTCCTTGAGGGCATGAAACCTTGACATAGTTTACAATACAGCATGGGTCTGAATTTATCATTTTGAGTAACTGAGTATTCTACAAACAGAGTCTATGTTAGCGAACCACATGTAGGGACCTACCGAATCACAATTTCACGGAAATTGCAAAATCTGGCTTTGCCCATGAAATCAGCCAAAGTCCACAGAAAAAGCTTACTGAAAATAAAATGCTGGCTTCCTCACATCATGGACAGCCCTTGCAGCCAATTGGTGGTGAGGGGTGGGGCTTCATGATGTACAGCACTTGCAGCCAATCAGCAACAAGGAGCAGGGCCCACTGGGGTCCCATGGACAGAAGAAAGGGGGTCCCTCACTGCAATCAGCGGGAGAAAGTGGCAGCGAGTCCCATGATATCCCTGCCAAATCAGCCAGCCGCCTCCAAGTCTGGTAGACCCCTAACCATATGGGTTAGTTTGACTAGTAGTGACGGTCACTAAAATTAATACCATGGCCATGAAAATAAGCCCTCTTAACAGAGCATTAACCCAGCAGAAGACAACTTACATCTTGCTCCTTGACTTGCGGGGGGAGTGCCTCTATTTGGCAAAAGATTTAGAGAGCACAGGAAACATGAGAAGAAAGAAAGTCAGATTTAGATTTGTGACCATTTACCAGTTACTTGTAAACCGTTTGAGTTGTTAGAGGGAGGTAACAACGAAAAGAAAATCCGAGATACCTGGGTCAGCTCCTTCCCAAAGGACTCCTGCTGAGGGGTGGAGGAGCTTTTGGAAGAGTGACTACCGCTTATCCACTGCAACCGAGGAGAGGTGCACAGGGATACCTGGTCCTCCAACTTAGGGGTGGGCAAAATATGGTGCACAGGCTGGATCTGGCCTACAGAGCAATTTTACCTGGCCCACAGCGCAGGGCACCCCCATCCTGTGTCAACCCACAGATTGCCCCAGGATGCCCATGCAGCCCCCCGCCCCGCTGACTCAGTGTGGGGGCAGCAGTAGGGGCGCAAGTCCTGGTGAGGGCGCTGTGCTGTGCTGGCGGACCTGTCTCCATGGAAACTGCATGCGGCCGGGGGGAAGCTGTATCCGGCATGGGGGCCAGTCTCCATGGAGACTGAGACCAGCCAAGAACACAGCGCCCTCACCGAGGCTCCCACCACTGCGGCTGCCCCCATGGGGCTCCACCCTGCACTGGAGCTGGGGCTGCCACTGCCGCACAGGCATGCTGGGGCGCAGGCTGGCACAAGACAGGGTTGCCAAAGCGCCAGCCCAGCACCAGTCCTGGACGCAGCAAGTGGCAGGGTGTGGAGTCACCGCCGGATCCACCATCTCCCTCCCCCACTTGCGGGCTGCATGCCCTGGGAAGCAGGAGGGGACAGACAAGGGGAAGGGGGAGGAAGGCTAACTTCCTCCAAAGCCCCCTCTGTGCAGCTTGTAGCTCTTCTCTCCCTGTCATGAGTGCTGCATCCCCCCAGCAAGGCCCAGCAGCAGCTTCCACCTCTACCCCAGCCCTGTGCTATCGTCGCCCCAAGATCCCAGCCCCCAGCACAGCTCCAGGGACCTGCTCAGGCAGAGCATGCGGGCAGGTGGGGAACTGCATCCGGGCCCAGGGACAGGATCATGGGGTGGTGACGGCTGGGGTGGGGCAGAGCTGTGAACCGCTGCCTGCCTGTGGAACCTGCACCCGTTGTAGGGGCATGCAGGCCTTGACCCAGCCCAGGCCCCACGCCCTGTGATCCTACCCTCACCTACCCCTAAACACTGCCGCCCAGGGCCCCATCCCACATAGGGAGTTTTGGCGAGTTGGGGGAGCAGGGATGGGTGCTGACCCAGCCTGTGACAGCTCACACCCCATGTGGCCCTCGGGACCAAATAACTGCTCACCCCTGCTCTAAATAATACAAGACTAGCTCCTTCTGAGGCCCATAAACAATTGTGACAAATCACTGGAGGGTCAGCAACTCAACCACCCAGGCGGGCTTGATTTGTCTGCTCTGTGGATACCAAAGGCAAATTTACCATACAGAAGACACCATCCACCCTGTTCCCTACAGATCCAAGCTGTGAACAAGTTTTTTAATACAGGTGCCAGTTCACAGCCTGGTAATAATTCAGCACAGCCATATTAATTGTTGCTTCCTGGCAGCCCCAAACACAGCTTCAGTCTTCCTTGCCAAAACTCACAACTGGAAGGTTACACTTCAAACTGAGGAACAGGGTCAGGAAAGATGCGAAGCAGCAATGACTGCAAATAGGTAACATATGCATGGTTTGAAACATTAGAAGTTTCACTGCTTGACTATTTGGTAAAACAGTGCAGTCCAAATTAATGCAGAGCAGGATCTACTTTGACAAAAGAATTAGATTAGAAATCACTACAAATTGCCTTTTAGCTCCCTCTGCCAGCTGAATCATGACTTCACCTTGCCTGGAAAGCATGACTGCTTTTTCTTTCCACTAAAAATGTCGTACTGACAGTAAGAAAGCCAGCCATTAAAAATTAAAGGCCATCTGACAGGCACCCAGGCTAAGAAAAAAGCCTTCCCGCACTCCTCAGGAGAAAACAGCCTTTGGTTCCGTCTGCTGGCTTTTCAGAAATGAAAACTCTCCAAACCTCATCCTGCAAGGACTCCTCCAAGATAAACACACTTTAGCTATATGCACCTGCTCCCAACCAATTTAATAAATAGCTACACTTTAATCTAACCCCAGAAGCATCCAAGTCCATTAGGAGTTCAAGTCACTTCTGCAATAGCTATGGCTCGCCGTTTCCAAATCTTCTTTCTGCTAGGTGGTACATCCACCCCCTCCAACATTCCTCAGCGCAAGTCTACTGACCATATAGTTACAACTAATACCAACCTCGTTCTTCAGGTGTTAAATCTTCCTCCTCCTCCTCTTCCTCCTCCTCCTCACTGCTTTCTTCTTGCTTAGCTAGAATCTTTGGGCCCTTACCTTCAGCTGCAGCTGCCAACCTATGCAAAAAAACTGTATTAAAACATGCCAAAGCAGGAGTAGCAACTCCCAACAATTAAAGTACTTAACTTCTGTACATACATACACCTCAGTGTCTAGGACAGGGGTCAGCAACGTTTTTGGACAGAGTGCCAAAAACACCGGAGACCTCGACTTGTAAGATGTTAGCACGCTAGGGGAAGATGGTAGGGGAGCCATGAGAGGCCCGATCCTTGTAGTGGCAGTGCAGCCCCAGTCCCTTCTCTGCTGTCCACCCTGAGGCACATGTGGCAAGCAAAATGTCTTTGAGTGCCACACTCTGGCACCTGTGCCAGAGGTGGCCTACCCCTAGTCTAGGATGAAACAGCCTTGGTTCTGGGCTTAGGCCATATTTTGCCACACTGATGTAAAGTACCAATTTACTCTACCAGAAGCTTTGCCTAGATACCTATCCCAACACATTTGACCATGACTCCTAACACAACCACCACCTTATCCAGGAACACATTATTCCTCCTGCCATTCTGGGGATGGGGGGGGAATATCTCCAAACTTAGCTCATGTCCTACAGCCACTAATGCTTACTTCTCGGCCAGCAAATCTGCTGTTAAGGGTTCATTTGATTCTGAATCACTCACTGCATCTTCATCATCCTCTCCCACCATACTAGAAAAAAAAAAGAAAGCAAAAGAATAGCTTCAGCATTTGCTGCCCAAAAATATTTTGTTTGTTAAAAGGAGTAAAGCTTTGCCTGTTCTAATTAAACTATTTGTTTAATACTCAATTCCTGTTTTCTTCCCTCCCTACCCTCCCCTACTTTAATTATTCCAATGCAAAGAAGTTTTATTTCCTTTTACCTAAGTATTAACTTTATTCACTAGAAGCTAATTAGTTCAAGTCCCAACTGAATTTTACAAATGACCCATACTCTTAAAGCAGTCAAAACTTCTGAATAACAATTCACATCTACAAGACTACTACCAAATATTCAGTGTTATCCCTTACTCAGGAGTTTTAAATATGTAATATACCTTGCACTGTTTCCCGTCTTATTGGTGTATTATCTAAATCCTGAGAATTCAAACAGACTACAAGCCTGCAAGCAGCTCCAGTACCACCACCCCTGAGCTTTGGTTTGCTGCTAAACCACTTAGGCATAGCCTACCAATTAATAACTCAAGTATTTCCATATCTATTTAAAAGAATGGTCGTTTAAGAAAATTTACCTGTGATAAGGAGTGCTTGGCTCATCTATTTTCATTAAGCCATAATCTTTCCCTGCTGGGTGGTACGTAGCTAGGATGTTCATTTCATCCCACTTCTGGGACTTTTTACTGAAAAGAGAAGAGAAAGTTAGCTCTCCCAGGTGTGAAAAGGCTTTCTCCTGCCTTGAAAAAGGAAGTGCAACATCCAAGGTCCCCCTTAGCTTCTATTTCCTGCCATGCACAAAAGGAAGAAGAAAAAAAAAGACTCAAGACAGAAAAGTATAGCACCCCCGCTTTCCCCCAAACACACACAACTGGAACAGGAGCTTAACCAGGAAGCAAGAGTATATTATACAGATAATTCTGGGTTCAAAAACACATTAGCCAAGTCCCACAACTGCCTGCAGTGCACCTTTCCAACCCCTGCCTCAGGCTCACCTAGATGGCCAAGCGAGCTGACAATGAACCCAGCCAGCAGATTCAGGAGCTCACCCTTCCTAATTCAAGTACTGGACCATTACCTACCTATCCTTGTGACGCAGTTCCTAGCAGACTATTTAATCCTGTTTGCTCTAGCAAAATACAGCAACAGCCCTGCGAGCAAGGCTAATTGATTTTTCACTTCTCACCTGCTCAGTCAGCTGCTACCAAACCCTGGGATTAACAATATTGGTCAAGCAGCAGTCAGTCATCAAGAAGCCTTCTTGTATAGCCAGCATCCCACTGTCCCACTAACAGCCCTAACTGACAGCAGTCCTAGATAAGGCTGCTCAAGGACTTGTGTCATTAGAAAAAACATGCAAGACAGATGGACATCTTCAGTGAACAGCCAGCCTTCAATCCATTCCCTAGGATTTTCACATTTTGTTAAAAAATAAATGCCCCTGCATACATTTACAGCTATGCAGGCACTTGGAAGGCAGGGCACGAGGTAGTGATGCCATACTGGTGGGCCAAAACAAGGCCAACTGCCACAACCCTAGTAGCGTCTGCACGCACCTTGCGGCAATCCAGATCACCCAATGGCTTACCTGCTAGGGAAAGTTTACCATTCGAACTTCCAACGTACACGCTTTTTCCATGAAGATCAATACAGGCTCCACACACAAGGGCACCAGACACTTTACTTTAGACTGACCCAAAAATTCAAATGATTTGGGATAATTTTAAAGAAAGTTCTACTAGCTGATTTTAGGTGGCATAACGAGTTAATTTCATTTCTAAGGGTGGTTTTCTGAATGTAAAAGTACACAGCATAACCGTGCCAAATTAAATCAATGCCGGAGAAATTCTCTGAATCAGTGAGGCAATAAAAACAAAGGATTGCAACACATGCACTTCACAGTCAAGTTCAGGTGAATTGATAGCTCAGTATTTTTTAGGGCTGTGCGAAACAGCATTGTTCTGCTTCGACTTCCATTTCAACGGAACAGTGTTTCATTTCGAGTTTTGTTTTGTTTCGAAAGCACTGTTCTGTTTAGTTTCGTCAAAACTGTTTTGCTGTTTCAACATTTCGCCCACCCAACGTCAGGAAGATTGGTGCTGCCGCTGGCCCCAGCTGGCAGCACCAGCCTCCTGTCATCCGGCAGGCAGATCGGGCCCCCCCCGGAGTAGTCCGGCACAGCCCTCACAGGGGTGCAGGCGAGCCCCCAATCTGCTTGCCGGATGACAGGAGGCTGGTGCTGCCAGTTGGGGCCAGCGGCAACACCTATCTTCCCAGCATGGACTGCACCCAGTCAGCAGCACCAGCCTCCTGTCATCTGGCAGGCAGATTGGGGCCCCCGCACCCCGGGAGGAGTTTAGTACAATCCCACAGCCCTCCCGGGGGTACGGGCAGGCCCCGATCTGCCTGCAAGATGACAGGAGGCTGCTACTGCCAGTTGGGACCCACGCTGAAGCCAAGTAAGCCTGGCTTCAAAAACATTTTGAAACGCTCGTTGCTCGTTTCATTTTGAAGCTGTTTCGAAGGCTTTTGTTTCATTTCAATTTCACTGTTTCAAGCTTGAAACACATCGAAACAGCTTCAAAATAAAACATGGGCAAAATTTCACAAAACCCTAGTATTTTTCTAATCAGCTATTGGTTTAATTTTGCAAAAGCACTGAAGGCTTAGTAATGCAGAACAGTGCCCTGCTCAAGCACTTGCAGTGGCAAAAACCTGACTGAACACAGATGGAAATATCAAACACAAAGATCAAGTCTCCTGTAGGGCAAGTTTTATATGCATTTTTGGTGCCATGCAGTGCACATGGATTCTTTCCGATAATCTCAATGTATAGACTACAACAGGAGTCTTATTTAAAACATTGTTATACTCAGTCTCACAAACTGCATGGCTGTAGTCTACAAATGCTTACAAATAAAAGAACCGACCACCTTTAATCTAGTCTGACCAATGCAAACCCTCACAGTTAGATGGAAGCTATGGACCCACTGTGTTCAACATACAACGAAGCAGTGGTCCTCAATCACTTTAGACTCAAGGCACCCCTCCGTAACTCTTGTGAAATTTGGTGGCACTCTGGGGGAGAACCAAAAATGCACCCCGAGTGAGAAAAAAAATGCAAAAGAAGATTAAACAATCCTACCTGTACAAGATTAAACACTTTATTAAGGAGTCGCCAGAGCTTCTGGTAAAGCCAAAGGCTGGCACAGTACACTGAAAAGCAATCACTAGAACAGGAAGTGTCTGCCACTCCCTTTTCAGGAACTGACTTAGAGGTATAACAGGATGATCTGCCTTGTAAGGGCCTGGAGCGGGCCAACCCTGGCTGGGAGGACAGCCTGGGGGACAGTAGGTGCTTGGGCTTGGTAGAGAGCACTATCAGGCTGGATGACCACTGGATTCCCATAAAGACTGAGAACAGTCAGGAGATACAAGGGGAGGGGGTGGCAGGAAGCAGGTTGGTTCCCGTGTTGGATGATCTACAGCAGTGGTCCTCAACCTTTTCAGACGAAGGACCCCCCCCGGGAAACGCTAACTTTTAGTTCTCACTCAGGTCTGAGTGCAGAAAAATAATAGAGTGATTTTTCTGTTGCAAGGAACTCAGAAAGGCCACAACAGGTCAGCATGTTTGTGACGCTCTGGATTTGAGTTTATCTTGTGAATCATGTTTGCACACCTAACAGCACTAGCACTGCGTGGCATCCCACGGTTCTCCTGAAAGGATCTCAAGACACCTGGGGGTTGTGAATCACTGACCTAGAGCAGGGGGGTCCAATCCCTGGCCTGCAGAGCCATGCCAGCTTGCCCGCAGATGTCCCCATGGGTCCAAAATCTGGCAGCATGGGAGCAATGGTAGTAATTGCCACTCCCTGCTGCCAAATTTCCAGTCCCATGGGGAGCCCCAGGAGCCACATAGCACACGGAGCTGGCGCAGGGCCTGATTCAGGCACAGAAGGGCCAGATGAAGGCAGTGCAAGGCCCAATCCTGCAGCACAAGGCTAAGCAGAGGTGGCACTGAACCCCGCAAGGCAGCACAGGGCCCTCCACTGGGGGTGTGGGGCCTGGATCTGGCAGCACAGAGTCCTGATCAAGCCCATGGACCAGCCCTGTGCCACCCATCAGCCTACAGCCCCAAAAAGTTGTGCACCCCTGATCTAGAGGATGGGAAGGGCTGGCCGGAGCTGGGAGGCTCTGCAAGGACAACCTAGACCGGGGAAAAGGCAACTGTAAGACATGCACCCCTGCAATAAGCAACTAGTTTAATGTCACTCTAGAGTGCCCTGAAAATAGCAACAGAGTGGAGTCAACCCAAACATCATATTAATGAACAGGACTCATTATTATGGGAGGCTCTTTCAGAAAGCTCTGCTCAGCATTCACACGCTTCCCTTTCCTAGTTCAGTAACACACTAACTAATCACTTACATACTGCTCATGTTAAATATCGGGCTGAAAATAATGAGTTAAGCATTAAAAAGACAGGGTCAAAATTCCACTGAAGTAATAATATGAGGAATAAAGCCTTAGCAAAGGAAGCTGTTCTAATTTTCTAGATACATAAAAGTTTTTTCTAAAAAATCTTTGATCTAAAAAAGTTTAAATCAATGCATTTATTAAAAAAACACCTTGCTGTGAGTTTTACTGAAATAAGTTTATGTATTATTGTTTTTGAACTAAGATGAAGCATCCTATCTCTCACCACAAATTACAAAGCTACTGATATGTATATGCCAACAATATGCTACATATTAAGAACAGTGCTTTCTCCAGTCTCATTTCAGCTAGCTACTGATCCAGAAATGGGGGGAGGAGAACCAAATATAATTTGCACATCTTGGAGAGGTGTAAACACCAGCAAAAATGGAACACAGAAAAGGGACCCAAATATGTTATACAAGCATGAGCAGAAAAGCATTTAAGTTGGAAAAATGCTTGCTACACTCCTAGCAAGGTCATCCGGACAGCACTCTGTGATAAGGGGACATCCGACAGGCAGCAAACCAGACGGAGGTCTGTACCGCAGTTCACTGCACAATCCGTAGCCCAAAACCAACAGCTCCAGTTACCTCCTTGGTACCAGATTCTGGGGGACTGCGTGTAGACAGCTGACCCAACACTGCTCCTAACACTTTCAAAAGCCAACATACAATGCTGATCAAGTCTTTAAGTCTCCTGGAACCGTGTGTGTTCTGGGACACTGTCTACATGTGAACCATTCCTGAAGACAGTACCAATACTTTCCCCATAGATCCCAACTATGGGGATGAACCCACGGTCAGAGCAATGGAAAGTCTATTGCAAAACAGTCTTCAGACTGCCAACAGCCTTTACAACACTGAATCTGAACATCCCGCACCTGGCATTGTTATGTAAGAGCATTGATTGCATTACTGATAGTAAGATTAAGAACAACAAGAAACCTCTGAAAATTCTCCTAGTGCAGCCAGGACTTCAAAGGAGACCATCCACAGCCGGTAACTTAGCAGGACTCCCGAGGAGCAAACAGTGTTGTATTTTACTTTTGCTAGCCTATATTAAGGCATTTTTGCATGTCTCAGATGAAGACTGGATCAGCAATCCATACCCTCAAGCCTTGGTGAAGAACTTGGTAGAGCAAGAAGCTCTGAAGCTCACAAGGTTGAGAACCCCATTCTGTTGAGAGGCTGACATTTCCAAGTGCTCT